AAAGAGTGTCTCAGAAAATCCCACCAAGTGACCCCAAAGCAATTAAGGTTTCAGCGGAGAAAAAATAGCAGTGTTCTTGGTTAAAGCACAGAGGCTGGAAACAAAATATTCCTCAGAGATTGCTTTTCAAGGGAAATTATTTGGAGATATTTCATAGAAATTAATCCAAATAAATATTTGCAGAAGAGAGGAATAAAAAAATGTTGTCTTTTCTGCTTAAACATGGATAGAAATATCTCTTCCAATTAAAGCTGTGGCTGGGATGTGGAGGCGAGAGCATTTCATGTCAAATGGGAAAGATCTGCATCCAGCATGGGCTTTTTGAGACTTTTGGTACAGATCTCCAAACTGCAGCTCCAATTCCCTTATTTAGTGCAGAAGAAATAGGAAATCAAAGCAAGTCCTGGACCTTTGCAGTTTGCCATCATTGCCGAGATCCCTTCGGCTCTCATTTACACTCTGTGGCTATTTGTCAGCTCTGCTCGAGGGGTGTTTGTGCCACATGTGAAAAACAAAACCTGTCCCCTAAGAACTTACACTATACCAAGGAGGAAGACACAGGATAGCAAGGGAAAATTCCCCTTTCACGGAACATGGACACTTATCAAACGACTTGTCCAAGGTCACACAGAATATCGATTGTGTTTAGATTTTTGGAATCCAAAATCAAACGTCCTATTTTCATCACAAGAAAATAACCCCTTCTATCCGGATTCTGCAAGCGATTTTCCTTATAGCACAAGTGACCCTTTGTTTCTATGTTAAAACATTTGAGAAAAAAACTGGTGTCAAAGTTGAGTGTCTTCAACAGGACGCAGAGAGCTGTCACTCTCAGCCACCGAACTGCTTTTACCCATAATTAGGAGGATTAATCAAGGAGAAAAGTGTGTCTTTTCATGGGAAAATAGGAATGTGCCATGCTTCCCGAATCGGGATGTGTGTTACAGCAAGGGGGAAGGGGCATTGCTGATGTTAGTCAGCTCCTAAAAACTCCAAGATAAATCTAAATTAACCCACATTTTTTTAGACAGGAGTATTAACAGGTATTACCATAAGATGTGTCTCTACCTCAGCACCCAGACTGAACTAACAGGAAGGCATCTTGTCCAGACACTTTTTCAATTCAGATTTGGCATTTTAAAAATCTTTTCCAAAACTTCAGGCTACGTAAACACAGAGATTGTGGATCACGGCTGCTCTCTCATGAGGATGACACAGATGCCATTTCAGAGGAGAGCGATGCAAACTAATGCATTTCCAGAGCCCACCGCAGCACCCGATCCGAAGTTTTCCAAAATACAGGCACGAAATTCCAACAAAAATGCCCCACAATGGTCTCTGTCAGAAGATGGCTGTGGCATGAGGTAACTGTTGGATGTGATATGGGAGATAAAGAAGAGTGTGACACTGACAGTGTGATGAGCTTGCAATGGAATAACTAAAATTAGTCTCCATTCCTGCATCTCCCTAAGTCCTTGCTGTTGTATGCCTTGGATCGTGGGTGCTCTGGATTTCCTTTCCATAAATGGGCCGTTCCCAGCAGCTCCCTGTTCTGATTTTGGAGGTCACTGGGAATTGAAAAGACGTATTT